TCTTATATTCCAAATACGTTCAATGCATATTCATTTCGTTGAAATGATTTTTCAGCCCTCTGCGTTGTGCTAGTTCTGATATCGCCAATTTATAATTACATGGTGAATGCACGGTTATCTTAGCAAAAAGATCAGCATGTGTGGTATCTAAGATATTAAAGATCTACCTTCCCTGAATGGATGAGGAAGATACTGGCTTTAAAGAAGATGGAAGTGAAGATGAAGTTGCTGACACGTACACCACATCGATTCCTAGAAGCCTTTCCTCGTTCGCCACTTCTTCTAGCTCACTGTCCTCGCTCACACTTTCATCGGGTGTATTATATAAAATTCTTCTCCTCAAGCAATTTCCGGCTCAAATTGATAAAGAACAGCCATACTTCAATAGCGAAATTTGGTTGATTCAGCTCCAGCTATCCAACATGTTCCACTATCTGACGTCATCACAGCCCAGACATCCCAAGCCATCAAATCCGCGATATTCCACAGGGAGCCCAGCTTAAGTCATTTCGCAACTTTGACGGACGATATCACCCCAAAAAACGCATTTCATGGAATTTTCATTTCGATTTTCAAAATCAACAAGGTTTGATGTACATTTTAAGCTATGATGTGTCTGGCACCTCAGAGTCCCTTTAAGATATTGATATTGATATTGATATTGATATGGATATTGATATTGATATTTGACGGGTTACTTTCGATTCCACGTACTGTTATTAATTATAAGGCTTGATCTGGGTTGACCTTTGCATTTTATTTAAATCACAACACTGATGAGTGATTTGAGGATTTGAGGACGAAAATCCAAAGAGAAACAGTGAACAAGAATGATCCTACCGGAAGTGTAATTAATTGCTCTTTATTAGTCTCATGTAAAAAGAAACAAAACATACAAATATAAAAAGAATCAGTTTAATAATTTACCTATAAGATTATTTATAAACCCCACAACGGTATAAGTTATATTGAAATTGCAATATTTTATGAAAACTGCAACCATGTAAACTCATCTGTATTGCTGAATATGGAAGATACGACGATAAACTTTTAAAGCACCTAGCTTATTAAGCTTTCGGCTCAACGCTAGTCACGATATCTTGGCTTTCTCAACCTTGAAACACGTGACTGCATGAACTGGTCCCAGATCAGGTGAGGATGTTGATGGCTGCCTTCTTCCCGATTAAGATAAGGACTTTCTATTCTGATTTGGAGGGCCTATCAAAGTCCGAATTAATGAAAAAAAAAAAAAAAAAAATTTAAAGCATGTCGTATTTAATTTAGGCTAACATTAATGTCTTAAATTATATATTACGGTTTCTTGTTTAGGGAGAATAGATGATTAACATTATTTTTGAAATTACTAAGGCCACGTTAACATTCTCCCGGATGTTTTGCCTGGCCTTTCGTACACAAAAAACGGCTAATACGCCACTTGAAAAAGCAACTTTTCGCCACGTTTACGATATATAAAAATATAAAAAACAATATAAAAACCTATACGTGTTGACAAGAGATTATTTTGAAAACGCATATAAATAATTCAGAATATTCGTATACGTTGCGTAGATGGGTCCTAAATATCGGATTTCTGACTATTTGATATGGCTATTATTGTTTTTAATGCCTTTTAAAACTTAAAGTGCCTATGACACCTAACTTAAAATGCTTGAAGCATTGATTCGAAATGAAGTAAAAAGTTGTAAAATAGTAAAATATCTTTATATGGTTTGAGTAATGCATCTTGGAGATATCAAGGTTTATACTTCCAATATGTTAATGATACGACGTCAAAGGAGGCACCATTAAATATTCAAATCGTTTCTGGGGCAGCAAAATGTCCTTTATAAAACATCATTGTCTTAATCAAGATTTAAAGAAAGGTTCTAGCAAAAAAAAAAAAAAGAAAAAAAAAAGATAAATAAATAAATAAAATATCATTAGTAATTAGTGTCGGATTTTAACATGTGAAGGCAGATAAACTGTAATGGCTCTTTTGAAGTCACGTCATAAGAGAATACTATTCAACTCTTCACTTTCTTTAGAATCCATATGTAATGCTGAAAATCTTGAAATTAATGCCATAGGCACTTTCAAGGCATGATTTTGAAACGTGTTTTTGTGAAAAGGAAGTTTTAACGTTTTATTACCCTCAGGGGACGTGTTTTTTTGTCTTGACAGGTTTGTTTAATTGGCCCATTTTTTCCGTTTGCGCCAAGGCAGATCTGTCACTTTATTTCTTCATTTACATGAAAACATTTTATGAATTTTAAAAAATATATATTTGTTATGAAATACTTTCCATATTATTGACGAGTATTAGATTTGTTAGTTGGTTCGGCTCTTATTTAGTTTAGGTTAGTAAATTGAATATATATATAGTTTTTACTTTTCATTGGAAAAATTGCCCATACATTTGGAATATTTGCAGTTTTCGGTCTTTTTCCTCTCTTTCCAAAGCAAAAGGTTGTTCTTAAAAGTAAAGTTATATAGCACAAGTAAACTGCGTGACGAAACATCCTAAATGACCCTATAAATCTTCTGTTCTTCGCGAACTACTGTACTAAGAAAACATAAGAGGCGAATGTATAGGCCAACAAATAGTATGAGCTTATAAAATCAGCAAAAATACGGTTCTAAATTTTAACAAATTCCTATGCATTATATACCAAAATGTTCAGGAAAGCCCGGGGTTTTTAAATCCACTTCTGTTTTTTTGACAGGTTCTGCTTTATATAAAGGAGAGACGATTTTTTAGCTTGACCCCGGTTATGCCATGCATTTTCTCTTGAAAATACTTCCAATAGCGTACATTCAACTCAAAAAGTACGGTGGTTTTTTTCAACGGAATTCAATCTAAACCATATCATACAATCCGTGAATAGTTGAATTAACTGAATCGATTTCTGTTTTTTGCCTAGATAGCCATTATTTTAAGAAAATATCCATGAGACATAATTTGTATGGGCTCACATGAGGGGGCGTGAGCTTGAAATCGTAGCTGACCAAATGTTAACAGATTTTTTCTGATGTATAAAGCTGGCGAACAAGCGCACTGCAAGCTTAGTAAGAAGTTCGAAGCTCGATTCCCACTGCTCAGGTAATTTCACATTTTTTCAACTTGCTTCCAATCCTGGTTAAGCAGGACTCGGAAATACCCTTAAAATGGCATTTTTGCCAATTCTTTCTCTGCATGTCATTCACTCCAAAACTATAGATTTGCTTGAACGTCACCCTAAACGCTTTATACTTTTAAAAGAATGTTGTTTTGACACATGTCAATGTTGGGTCGATGACCCGAAAGCTTGGACAACAATTATGGCAATTATCAATTGCCTAAAAAATTTGAAGTGAAGGGACCAAATAAAGAAAGCTATAAAGGAACCCTATAACGTTGAATCCTACGTACGAGAATAGATGATTCCCAACCCTATTAAAAAAAGAAACGCCATAATGCCGGAAACGCGCCCAAAGAGGAATACGACGACGATGATGATGAACAATGAATCCTTAAACTTATACGTGAATAAATCTAAAGTGTTGTGAGCAAGCTCAAAATTAATTAGTTGAATTTTGGATTTTCTTTTAGGCACTTTGCTTGCAGTTTTTTTCTCTTCCATATCTGTTGAGGCAAGTATTTATTCTAATTAACTTTCGAGGTAAGCATGTACTACACAATAAATCTAAAGTGTCGTGAGCAAGGTCGAAATTAATTAGTTTATTTTTGGATTTTCTTTTAGACACTTTGCTTGCAGAATGTTTTAATTTGGTTAAGCTTGATGACCATCATGGCGTCGATAGCCGGATATAGCGATGGCTTTCGTTAATAGCAGTTCAACAATAAACTTCCTTATTCGCTTTAACCCAGTTATTAGGTATCAAATTCCTACATAAGTACAACTCGCAATTTTAGCAGCAATACCATTTGTTAATCCCTAAATGTATTTAACCGAATGACCCTTGGGAATATAACATGACTGCTTAAGTACTACCTCTTCTCACGTGTATATTAATGATTTTAAAAGTGACTTTAGTATTTTCTGGAATTTTTCTGTTAAAACAGGTTTGACGAAGTCTCATCTTCTTCTATATCAGTTGAGGCAAGTATTTGTTCTAATTAACTTTCGAGGTAAGCGTGTTCTTTGAAGGAGTCTCGCCATCAACTGTTAAACGGATTTGTTTGTTTGTTTAATTTGGGGGTGGGGGTTAGACTGTTTCACAAAATTCCCAGCAAAGTAAATTTGGGTAACTAAGCTATCCAGACCTTGCGTGTTCCATTGAAATATGGAAATGAAAATGTTGTCAATGTTTATACATTTTCTCTCTTTTTTCACATCATTTGAGTTGCAAAAGCTTTGGTTAGCCTATAGGGCTGTTATCCTTTAGATATATTATTAAATTGATATACTTACCGCCTAGTTTCGTTTATTGTGAAAATAATTAAACCACTAGCCGTTTACAGCAGACTTTAATTATAATGATATTGATTTAGGCTCATACAGGCGAGATCACTACCCGGAATAAAAGAAGAGCAAAAGTAAAGGACAAAGAAAGCCGTGAATGAAAGGAATAAGATTAAGGAAAGAAGCAAGAAAAGAAAAAGAAAAAGAAGGAAAGAAGAAAAAAGGGGGTACCCTCGAAGTTATTATGATAACGTTAACTTCCATTTCGGGATATAAACTAGCAAAGCCTAATTTCGCAGACCCCGAGGGTTGTTCACTTCAAATCGCTGTTTAACAAGAAATGAAATCGATATGACCATATTTCGTTTCACTCAAACGGCAATTAATGACGACAATAAACCCGAGGCCAATTGAGGGTTAAGTACATGATCAAACACGCTCGGCAATTAGAAGGAAACCCCGCGTCTTTTAATATTTTCTTCCGCTCTTTTTCCTCTACGAATCATTCATCACCAACTCCAGTATTTGGAAAAGTGCCTACAACGTGACTTGCAAGAAGCCCATAAATATCGCGAAAAATCGCCTTCTTATTCAATTCACAATTGCAGGAATAGAAGACTCGTTGGATCTATCGAAGTTTTGCTTATTCTAACAAGTTTGCTCAAGCATGGTCAGGATGTGGCTGATAGTTTGTTTAGTCTTTCTTGGTGTTTGTTTTGACGGAGTTCGTTCATCTTTGCCTCCTCCATCTAAGGCTAGTGTTGGTGCCTACTTCACCATGAAAGGAGCAGAATATGGTAAGAAATGGTATATCAACAACTCGTATATTAACCCCTCATAACTTGTCTTTAATTGTTTGATTCTCTACTTGTTCATTGACGTTACAATTTTACCGTAAAAAAATTGCTTTTAAGACTCTCGTTTTACTATTCCTATGTACACCAGGACCTACGTTGAGTGATTTACAAATTCCTAGTTGTTATATCTACTACAAAAGCTAAGAATGCCTTCATCGTGCAACGCACTGATATCAACAACTTGGCTGACCTCTAAAAGATCAATTATCATAATTGATCTTTTAGAGGTCAGCCAAGTGGTTGATATCATTGCGTTGCACGATGAAGGCATTCTTAGCTTTTGTAGTAGAGCAAATATGAAATTTTATATTTTATAATTTCTATAACTATTATTATTCTTGTTGTTTGTTCCGTTTATATATCCCCTCCTCGTATGCTATCTGTTTTATTTCAGTTCTTTCCTTTGTCTTTCAGTGAACCTCATTCTAGTCAATAAGACCAAATCCACAATGGAAGGTCAAAAGGTCCCCCCTGTAAGCATAAGCAAGTCTATATGGTGGAATACTATCCGCCTGTCTCTTGCAAAGTAAGTACCTACTTTGTTATGTTACTTTGTCTTCCCCTTTTCTTTTTTCCTTTTTTTAAATTTTCTTTCTCTTTTTTTCTTTTCCTTTTTCTTGTTCTCTTTTTCTTGTTCTTGTTCTTTTTCTTTTTTTCTCTTTTTTCTTTTT